AAAAAAAAAAAAAAAAAAAAAGCCTTAGAATTCATGTAGATCAATGTTTTAGGTTTATCAAAGAAGAAAGTGAAGTCCAATCTGAGGTACTTTCATTCATTTGATGTCATATATCTGGCCTCTGGGACAACAATCTGGTTCAGATTTCCTGGTTCCAGTCCTGTACTCTTGTCTTTATGGGTAAACCCAAGCTAGAGTGTTCAGATTAGGAGATGGTGGATCTAAGGTGTTCCTGTACTTTTGAAATGGCTTGAGAGTAAAAGACTGCCAATCAGATTCTGCCAGCATTATAAAACTTCTCTGCTAGAAGTTGGAGTAATTCTTGCAGACTTTAGGGTTTCAGATGGTTAACATTTCTGGAAGGATTTATGAGAGACCTGCAGTGATATAAAGTAGTTTGGCTCAATGCTTACAGAGAATCCAGTCTGGACCTAGAGGAGAAGGCACAAGAGCTGCTCACCAAACTGAGGTGACTTACAGAGACACATGGAGAGGAGTTGAGAAGCAAAAATGTAGGGTTTCTTTATTGGGCTTTGGAAACTTGAGAGATGTGGATGCTATTTTATACCCCATCGGCCATGTGATGGTATAAGAGATAGGAGACCTTGTGGGGAGCATGGATATTCCTAGTAGTCATCACCCAAACCAGTTTATTATCGGGTAAGAGGCCATTTATAGGTGTAGGTACCACCTGTTTGTTGTTCTCATTTACTGGCTGCCCCCTCAACCCCAGGCTCTTGCCATTCTCCAGGCTGGCCTACAGGTACCTTAGTAACCTGATCTCATTAACAGACTAGGAGTAGCACTGGTCCCATACTCTGTGAGCGGAGAAGGCCCCAGCAGGTAACCACCGTTTGATGCAACAGGCTCCTGATAATAAGCTGCCTATTGGAGTGCTTTAAACAATCAACTTCTAGTTTTACCTTTAGATAGTATGTTAGATAAATGTGATTTCTGTTAACCTAATGGTGCTTGTCTCAAAGTATATGCTGTAAAGCCAGTGATTTTTCTTGAAGACTTGAAGTCCATGCCCTCTGGGCCTTTTATTGGTCTACTGTAATCCCCTTTGCATGCTAAATGACTAAATGCATTCATTTGAATTTCTAGGGTGATGGTCACATGATGATTTCAGTTTCTGTAACTGTACATGCACATTCTAGTGACATCAGGTAGTGACTGCTGAGGTCGCTAATGTCTGTAGAAACACTGGATACCCATGGAGATGAGTTTCACTTCCTTTCTCTGTGTGTCCTTGACTTGGTAAAGTCTTTTGCTCAGTAAGGATGTCCCAGGGGAGCCATGGCATAAATGTTCTCACAAAAGACTTTGCTACAACACTGTGCTCCTGAATGCAGAGTTGAGAGAGTAGAAAGACTGAGGGCACTGAGTTCGCCAGTGTCCTCCCTTCCATGTGCACGGATGGATGAATGTCCAAATTAGAGGAACGCACTACAGTTAAATAACCACATGGATGGCTACAAAGAAAGCAACTTCTAATTCTGAAAACTACAGTGAGCCAATAAGATACTTTGCAGGATGCCAGTGCTTCGCAGAGGAGCAGCACTTCCCGTCAGATGTTTTGTTTTTTGAAACTGTGAAGTTGTTTTTAAAATGTAGACAGAATTATTGGTCATGCGGAACCAAAATCCTTTGTTGTTTGCTGTATTGCACTGAATCTAGCACAAATGCATTTGCAGGGGTGGTGACCTTCTGGTTTGTAATGAAGCTGTTCTAAAAAAAAAAAATGAGTTTTCTCTCTGAGAGGCCCTTAGTATTCTGTGATTCATGGATGCACTGATCTGGACAATGCAAGTCGGTAGGAAAGCACAGCACACACAGGGTAGAGCCATGTGTCCTTTCTCTTACACATCAGTCTTTGGTTCTCAAATGTATTTTCAAACTTAGGCAACCAGAGCCTTCTTCACACAGGGCTGTAAATCATTCCATGCATTTTGAAATTGTTGTGGGAATGTACCAAGAATATTGATTAGGAAAGGGTTCTCAGAAAAATTTCCAGGATATCCTAGAAAGATTGAGAGAGCAGCAAAGCGTTTTGGATGCAATCCAGTGGCTGAATTAGAGAGTGTCTAGAGTCATCCAGTCCAAACCTCTAGTTTACAGTCAAGGGAGTGGAGGCCTCAGAGGGGAAATTATTTGCCAGGTTTACCCTGTTGGACAGTAGCAACACTCCTGGTTTCCTAACCCTTACTTCAAAACAGATTCCACCTTTTTCTTTCTCCCAACTAATATAGCCCTTAAACTAAGAACAGAATCCAGAGGAGTATTTCTCAAAATATAGTTCATAAAAAATATAGTTCATAGACACTATGTCAGAGGCACAGTGTGTGCCTTTAAAAATGCAGATTCATGGCTTTTATTTAGACCTACCAAATAAAATTGAGGCCTGGATATTTGCACTTTTATAAATTTCTCAGTGATTCCTCTGTATACTGTGTTTTAGACCCATGTATCTAGGGGCTACACATAGGCTGGTAGCATGTGGCAGGAGATGAGAACAAACTTTTAACATCATTGGATTTATCTTGAGGATATAGTCATTCATACTTTCTTGCTGTCCTTAGTGTCAGTCATGTAGTGAACCGAACAGAGTTAATGATGGTGCAGAGAGTAATTACACAAGTTTCCCTGTTTTTCTAATACCTGATTTGGGTATAACTATAAATAATAGCTCTTTTTCCCCTCCCAACTGGCAATATTTATCTGCTATATATTGTTCTACTGTACTTGGTGGAAGGTAAATGAATGCTTTGCAAGCATCCTCAAATATACATGCCCACTCCACACTGTTGATTCGCAGTGCCTGGCCTCAAAATGTCTTGCAATGAGCCCACAAATAGTTCAGTGAGAGTCCCAATTACCTCTCTACGCAGGTAATTATTACTTCTGCCATTTAAATGAAATTTCAGTGCATTGCTTATAGCAATAAATTTAGGAACATATTTATGCAGTCCCTGCTTCTATTCATAGGCAGAGACTTAAAATTCCATTTCTGTTGGGGTATAACTGAATTGCCCTTCAGTATGAATTTGGCTGATAATAAATAAAATAACACTATAATCTTATTTCCCCCTCGGCAGTTAACAGATATCAAAAAGCAAAACAAACAAAGAAAATCCCCTATCACTCCATTTGCTCAGCACATGCAAGAGTTCCATATTTCATGGCCGAGTAGTAGCTGAGCAGTTCAGTAGGATTACTGGGCTATCACTTGTGTTGTAGAAATGTGATGTCATGGCATTTGAGAGTCTCATTATGGAGTTTAACGGGTTTTGTGGTATATTTCACAGCATGCTCTTTCTGACAAAGCATGTGTAAAAGCCTTTGACCCGAAGACAACCTGCTTACAGGAATGCCTTATCACAACCTTCCAGGAAGCCTACTTTGTTTCAGAAAGTTTTGAAGAAGCCAAAGAAAAGATGAGGTAAACTTGCTTTTATCCATCCACAGAAAATAACTTTTCATTTTTCTGGTTCTGTTTCCTGCCTTCTATCTATTTCTTGTACCAGTAGGAGCTGATCATGTATCCTATTTCTGTTTATTCTGCAGGGACTTTGCAAAGTCAATCACCCGTCCTTTCTCAGTATACTTCAATCCCTACACACAGAGTATTGAAATTCTGAAAGACACCAGAAGTATTGAAAATGTGGTACAGGACCTCCGCAGTGATTTGAACACAGTGTGTGATGCCTTAAACAAAATGAACCAATATCTGGGGATTTGATACCTGGAACCAGTGTTGTTGCCAGCATGATCTTTTGGGGTTTAGCAACAGTTTGGTCAACGTCATGTACCACCGATAATTTTTTGTATCATGGCTTGGCTAGTAAGCATGCAATTCCATATAGCTATACCTACTTGTAACCTACTGTGTTAATGTATGGAATGCCATACAGACCCCAATGGTAGATAGTCACTTACTGTTTGAAAGATGTTTACAATATGTTTAAATGTCTAAGTATATTTGACATTCCTTCCTAGTGTTCTTAATTGAACCGTTTCCTTAAAATTTGTAGCAAGTAGCACTCTGTTATTTGCGCCTATGACCTTTTCTGCTTTGGACCCGAGCTTTCCCTCTGTGTTTGTTCGTTAGATAAAATGAAAACAACGGTGAAGCGGTTTTTATTTTCAGCGGTTTTTATTTTCAGTAGTATCAGTGTTTTCATCACATAATTTGAGATAATCCGGAGTTGTAGGAAACTTTCCATTACAATAGCAAATGATTCAATATTCTAATTCAAAAACTGTTGAGGTAACAGCGTATTTGGTATGCTTTTAGGCTGAATATTTATACAATGCAAGAGAAGGAAACATTTTACAAACAGGGTATGTGGGTTGCATTGACCTTGTAAAAACTGAGTTGCAACAAGCTTCCTGAAGTACTTTGGAAGATAATACTTGTGGTAAGAGTATTAGGAAAGACTACACGGTGGGGAATACGCCTTGTGACTATGAATTTAATGCTGGAATAAAGTGAATTATAATCTCAGGTGTTTGACCCATTTCTTTGGTTAGAGGGTAATAAAGTCATAGGGCTACAGTGATAATCTTTGATTCCAAAAAGATGTGGAAATTGAGTCACGAAGTTAAGTGATTTCTCGAAAGCAGTGCAGTTAGTTGCGCAGCAACATTCACAGCCCATTGTATTTTCATTTTTTTCTTTTATTGAGTTTATTGGTACATTCTAGGTATACAGTACAGTTACATTCATTACTGGGATCTTGTACCTTTACATGACAGGTCTTGGTTCTCATTTTTCTTCCCTTGTCCCTGCCCTCCCTTCACCCCCTCCTCCCCTCCCCATTTACAAGCACTTTATTTCCATTTTTTCATTTTGTCATATATTTTTCTTTTCCCTTTCTACCTGTATTTTCATTTTGGATTGCTGAGAAGTTCCACTTGGTGCATATAAGTGTATATGTGTAGTAAGAGAAAGGAAAGTCATGCCCATTAAAACTAATGTTTATCACTAAATAAGAAAGGATATGTGATCTAGGGCTGCCAACAGTACGTTTGTTGTTTCCCCCTACAGCCAGACCCCTAAACCAGACCAGAGTTTTGGGAAGTTATCCACTTTCTCAAATTTGAGCAGCTGGGCAGGAAAAGTGGCTCAGTGGCACAGTGCCTGCCTGGAACGTGCAAGGTTCTGAGTTTGATCCCCAGTATCAAAAAACAAACAAACAGCAAAATTGGGCAAGTTAGGGCAATCATTTGTGATATCCCATAAATTTGTAATGATCCTTGCCATGAGTTAAAAACTGGGTATCTGAGTGCACATGAAACCGCTGAATGAATGAACAAATTTCATCTTCTGGATGCCTCAGCAAACACGGCTTCTCTTCCTGATTCTGTTTTTGGTAGGTGGTACAAGGTATTGGATGGGAGGAAGAGGGAGACAAGAAGTAAAGAAGAAAAAATGACAAAGTAACTTTTGGGTTAGCAATTCCAAAGTATCTGCTTGAGCAAATTCCAAGGACACTCTTTTCATAAGAAATTATATTTAATTTCAAAGTATCCATACACTTTCATGGGGGCCCATTAAATCTTTGGTCTAAATGTATGAGAAAGAGTTCAAATACACATCAGGAAGAGGTCAAGTTAAAATGAAGGTTCAGAGGTTTGGAAGTTGGTTATCTTAACTATGCAATGAGACTCTTTAACATTCTCAGAACAATTGACTTCTTGAAAAGCCATTAAATAGGTAGTGTGAGTGTCCTGAGGCTTAAATGCCAGTCTAGGTGAAGGAAATCACACCTTGGAAAATTAGCAGTGATAGAGAAATGGAGAGCAAGCCAAACCAAATTAAAAAGATTTAGAATGATCAAGCAGTTACACAGTTTAATAGTTTTGGAGAACTAAAAATATGTAGTTTCTTATATCTTGCTTTGCTAGATCTATATGACATTGGATATTTACTTACAAATAATTCACACTAATAATCTAGATCAATAAATCTTCCAATTTTCAGAGCAAGTTGCTGAATTTTCTTGGAGAATAAAATTGGCTAAGAAATATTCAGTATGTGTCTTCTCTGTAGTTTCCATGATTTAATGTTGCTTTTGGTATATGTCCTGAAGAGTTCTTTTTTTTTTCTTTCCATTTACTAAAACAAACATAAGAAGCCATTGAGCTTTTTTCCCTTGTAGCTCTATGAAAGGATGACTTCTAAGGTAAATATATTTGAGGGAGAATTATATTTAATTGTAAACAAATCTCCCAGACAAAAATTTGAGGTGTCTTGTGTTTGTCTTATTGTAAAATCTTCAGGTTTCTTACATGTGCCCTCTCCCCCCAAAAAATCTATCTTGTTTCAAAAATAGAAGAGCTGCAAAGTAAATGGGCTTTCCCACAGAGCTTATATAGGTATCATATAACAAAGAGGAATTACTTGATTCTTTTTAGATCTGTTCTCCATTCAGAGTAGCAGTAACTGTGGTTTTTACCCTGTGAAACAACAGAATTGTGGTTTTCATTTGTTGCGAGCATTTAACATGTAAATGCCATTACAGCTAATGGTGGGAAAAATCCTATCAAATTTAATAGCCATCATAGGAAAAGTGTTGGCAGAAAGAGTTCTTCACTGGAAATAGTGCAGCAAAATGATCACAGTCAGCTTCCTGTCGTAACTGATACCTGCTCAGCGTAACCATTTTTCTCAATTAGGCCTCATGACTTAAAGCTAAATTAGCTGGATCTAGGGGCAATTATAAGTTCAAAGGCACTTGCTCGCTGTCATCTCACTGTGAGTTGTTACTTTATTTTGGCTTTGCCGCTGACTTCTATAATCTGCTAATCATAAGTTTCTTCTACATCATGTTTTGCAAAATAGAGGCAAAATTTGATCACTCCAGGTTCATATTTGAAGCCTTTTCTGTGAGTTAGGAGTTTGGATCAGGTATCTGGTCTATTCTTGAATGATTACATTGACATAATAAAAGCATAATAGTTTATAAATTATACCTTTTAAGAGTGAGGAACTTTGACTCAAGTTTACTTTTAACACATTATTTTTAGGGGTCATCAGACTTGGTTTTCTGGCTTAGTCTAATTTATTTACTGTGTAATTAGAAATTTCACTTGATAAAGACAATATATTTGTGTTTGTCTTGCTTGCACATAGTAAATGGGCCTGAGCCTAATGAACGTAAAATATTACATTTACCAACATGAAAAGTCTGAAATGAGAAACATTGTGCTTTAAAGTGGAAATAAATAGAAATACAAAGTTTCATTTTCTAATAGAGTCATGGCTCACATCGTCTCATTTTCTTCATTCGAGGAGGAAAACATTAACACTAGATGTAGTTGTCCTCCAATTCATTTGATCTAATTTTCAACGTTTAAAGAATCAAGCACTGATGCTTATTCCCATGAACCATGTCTTACTTATAATGAAAAAGAAAGCAGCCTAGAGTTTTCTGGTGTGTCTGAGTTTTGCTTTCTATATTTTTTTCTTTAAATTTCAAAGCTCTCTTAATTTGGGAAATGGTTCTTATACAGATTGCCTCACTTTGGGAAGAGTCAAGGGAATTAACAGTGGAAACTGGTGCTTCTAATACTAGCTTTGCAGATTTCCAAGTAAAGCCATCCTGGAACGTAAAATGGTGATTCCTTTATCGTGTGATTGTGGCCTCAAAACATTCATTCAGTTTAGAACCTTATTCAGGCACTGTTCTAGATCTTGAGGGTGTAGAGGTGAACAAGAAAGGAAGTTTGAGCCCACCTTGAGTTTGCATTCTTGTGGAGGAGATAACAAGCAAAATGAAAACTCATGTCATTTGGAAGGATGACAAGTTTTAAGAAAAAAATGACTTGATAAAAAGTAATGGGAGGGTGACTTAAAGAGGCTCAGAAGGTTTTTCTTAGTAGATGGTATTTGACCAAGAATCACGGGATGGGTAGAAGCCAGGCATGAAGAGAGCTCTGGAAAGAGTATTCCTGGAAAAGGTGACAGCAAGACCGAAAAGGCCCTAAAACAGAAATATGTGATGGATCTGAGGAAGACGGAGATTGCTAGTGGGCTGGAGTGGGATGATACACGAGCAGCATGGGAAGCAAGCTGAGATGATACAGATCCCCTAAGGGGCCAAGTCTGCTCCCAATGCAGTGCAAAGTCACAGGAGGTCTTGAAGGGAGGCAATGACAAACTGATTTACAGTTTCAAGAGCTTACTGAGGCAACTGTGTGAGAATAGATTGTAAGGGAGGTGGGGTGGTGGTGGCTGGGAATAGGGATAAGAATCCAAGCAGTGAAACTAATGAGGAGGCCATTGCAGACTTAGGGATCTGCAAAGTTAGCATCTTGTTGGATCACAGTGGACATTGTTAAAAATTATTGTAATTAAATAAGTTATAATCTTATTTATAACATACATGGATGGATATGAACCATGAGATGAAAGACTAAAGGAAGCTAGAATAACCAGGAGATGGGTTGATTTTCATTTGGGTGGGAAAGCAATCATCCTATGAGATCCTGTGTCTTTTGCAAATATTTAGAACTTCTTTGACAAACAGCATCATGTTAAACTTTACCTGGGTAGTTCTTTTTTTTTTTTTTTTTTTGGTACCAGGGATCAAACTCTGGTCCTTGTGCTTGCCAGGCAGGTGGCAGAACCATTGAGCCTAAATCCCTGTCCCTACCTGGGTACTTCTTAAGGAAGAAAAGTTATATTGGAGAGCAAATATAATTTATTTTCCTCATGACACAGATATTGATTACAGGAGCAGAAATGAAGTAGAAATGGGTTATTATTGGTGAATGTTGGTAGTGCGGATGTATAGGGTAATTCAGGACAATAAATCCTCCCTCACCTTCAGGCAAATTAAATAGTTTCATTCAGTGTCCACTGTGCCATTTCTGTAGGAATGTGCCACACAAATATAAAGGAATCCAGTCTTCTCACTGCCTCCCGTCTCCCCAGATGCATATCTGATATCCTAGAAAAGGCTCGCTCACTTGCTGTGATTTCTTCCTCTCTCCAAGAAGGGTGGGTCTGGTGCAGCAGCTGGAAGTATATTTCCTTCTTTGGTAAGATTGCAGTGAGCCTGATGTTCAACCCAAGGGCATCTGTGGTTATGGTGCCTGTGAACAGCATTCTCATAATCCAGTCTGGATACAGTTTTTATAACTGAACAACAAAAACATCTGGCAGATGTGGGCTGGGTAATTTGAAAACTAGACAGCACAAAGAAATCAAGATTCATTTTCTGTCAAAGTAAAATCATTAAGAAAGGTGCAAAACTAGCCCTCACTTTATATTTAGTTCAAGGAAGATAATACCAGTGAGAAGAAAATGATAGACACTTCCTGGTCTCCCCTTCATTCCTAATCTCTTACAGTCGCCTTACTTTTTATCTTGTTCATTTACATGAAACTAGCAAAATGCTGATTCAATAGGTCTATTATTCCCAAAGGTTTGCAAACCACTGAACACATCTAATGTACAGCT